CACTTCTCCGGGTCCTCCTTGGGCTTCTGGTACAGGACTTCCGTGTACTTCACGGTGAAGCGGCTTGGAGCTCGTGACCTGGCCTCAACCTGTAGTCCATTCAAAATGGCGTGGACCAGGCCATCACAGTAGGCGCCCGACGCCTCGGTGTGCTTGCCCTGTATTGGCTCGCAGTAGAACTTCTGCGCGGGGGACAACTTGTTGCCGAGGTTGGCGAGCACCTTGGTGGAGTTGCTGACCCATCGGTGGCCCTTCTGAATGGGGGCACCGTCCGAATTCTCTGCTCCATAAGCGCCAGCGTCGCACGTGTTGGTGTAGACACCATCCAGGTGGAGCAAGTCCTGGATGCTTGAAACGTCCCAAATTCGAGAACGAATGGGGTTCTTGCCTAGGAAGAAGCGGTTCTCCTCGTGCTGGTACTTGCATAGGGCAGCGCCAAAATCCACCAAACTCTGCTCTTCGGCCCGAAGAGCATGAAGGTCATCAAGTCTTTGAGACCAATTCATGTTCTCGTTGAACAAACTCCACAGCTTGCAAGGCCAAGCTACCACTACCAGAAGTGGCTTATACTTCTTCACTGCCTTCCAGAGAATGTCCTTGCCATACTCCGTGGAGAGGTCGTAGCCCTCGCGGATATCAAAAGGCTGTAGTGCGCTGAGGCCGTACAGGTACGCCTGGGAAGTGAGGTTGCCGGTGCCGGAGAAGACCTCGCACAGGTCGATCTTCACCTGGTCCAGCTTGTTCTGGTGGTAGGTCGGCATCGCCTCATAGACCGAAACCTCCTGGGAGTACACATTACATGCTTGGCGAAGTTGACCAGAGATCCAAACCTTCTGGCCCTTCTTCATGCTCGGTCTGCCTGATCCACCAGATCCCAGTCGTAGTTCGACTCCAGGTCGTCCTCCTCCATGGAAGGTCTCCTGCTGATGTAGCCCCTCGTGGTCCTCGAAGCTGAAGCTTTGGCCGTGGACTTGCTCTTGGCCTGCGGAAGTGCGGAGTGCAGGACTTCTGCAAGTTCTTTGCCCAGGTCGGTCGAAGACCCTGTTGCACATATTGTTCCGAGGATGGCAGCGGTAGTCGATAGGATGAAGTTCCGGAGTCCACCACCCAGTCGCCCGCCTTTTCGTTCCATCGCCACCGGAGACCGCAATCTCGGCACTTGCAAAACCTGCCGTGCTGGTTCCCGGAGCGTTGCATTGCGTGTGCTGGGTGCTGACAAGGTCCGGAGATTGCCTTGGCTGCCTGCGCAACTTCCTCCATCATGCTCGGGTCCTGATGGCATAGCCAGCTCTTTGGGCGAAGGCCCAGCCTGACCGTCTGGCACAGAAAACGGTGCAGCTGCAGCTCGACCGAGAAGACGATCTTCACCAGTCGTCTCCAGCTCACGAGCCATTCCGGAGGCGGCTGGTGCATGTGGGCTATCGGGCAAGCAAACAAACTCAGGGTCGGGATCTTGATCTACTTGCATGCTGAGGCGGCTCCACGAATTGCACTTGTTCACATGCTCGGGGAACTGATCAATGCGAACCGTCAGGTGGCCGTTGATGCAAACAATCGGAACCGTGCAGTCGAAGACACCCAAATACATCTGTGAGTTGGGGAAGTCCAGGGTGGCCTGCCACTTGTGAGCAATCAGTGAAAGGCTGCCCAACAAAGGAATATCATTGTCGCCCCCCAACACGCTGGCCCCGATGAGGCAATTCGTTCGTGCGTCCCCGTTGAAGCATGCCGGAAAGAAGGTGTGCTGGAAACTGTACTGCCTGTCTCCATGACCAAACTGAAAGCCTTCCTTCTCGGGGGTGTTCTTGCCGCAAACCAGGGTGTTGAAATAGCTTCCGAAGGTTTCTGCGGGTTCTTCATCTTCAAACGAAACACTGGATTGGGTCCCGCAGGCGTGCTGAACAGTCATAACCTTTTTCGCACCCTTTGGTCCATTGCCTTTGGTGCCGTCGCGGGCATTGTTGCCCTTGGAAAATCCGCCCTTGCCGCCTGCTGGGTTGTCCTGCTCGTTCTTCTTCGACATGCTGCAGGCTGCATCTCCTTGCCAATGACCTTTCTCTCCACAGGCCGCGCAGTGAGAGGCTCTCTTTCGCTCATCCAGGGGCCTCCGTCCACTGAACTTCCGCCCCAGGGTGACTCCTTGAAGGCGACGGGCAGTAACCGTGAGGCATTCTGCAACCTCGTTCATGACGTCCTGGATGCCCTCGCCGGTGGAATCCGCGTCGTCTTCCTCGTTGATCATGCCCTCGTCACCCTCAGGAATCTCCTCGAGGGCCTCGTCCGGGTTCTCCTCATGCTCGGCATCATCATTGTTCTCAAAGTCCTCCTGGCCACCCGGGTCGGCCTCAGCGATGTAGCTGGTGTGCTTGGGCGTGAAATAGCCCTTGCCCTTGCCATCGCCTTTGCCGCGGCCTTTGGAGAAGCGTCCTTTACCTTGGTCCCGAGGAGGATATCCATGCGCTCGAGGATGATCACCTGCGCCAGGATGTCGAGGCTCCCTGTGCTCGCGAGTGTCAAACTCCCGCGAGTAGGTGATCTGGTACAGGCCGGTGCTCGGGAAACTGTAGCTGCGCCGCTTCCTTGATGCTCTCAAAGTGCAACGACTGACCAGAACCAACCAAAACCAGTCGCTGCTGCTCCAAACTCAGGCGCATGCGGTCCAATAGCCTGCTCCCTCTGCTCTCCGAGTCGTACATCGACCCCACATCGACGTTCACTGCCATCAAGGAACGTTCCACGCGGTGGTACCTGTTGCAGAAAGATCTGATTGATTCACCATTGACCCTCTGCAGCAGCTCGTGCTCGTGGAAGTAGGGCCTCTTCAGATAGACGGCACGTGTCATCAGGGGCGCTCTCAGAGACTCGATGATGTAGTTCACGCCATTCTTGTGGCTAATGCTCTGCCACTTGCAACTCCCAGATGCGCACCTTGCGTTCCCACTTCTGGAATGCCCGCAAGTCATCTCTGCTATAGCTCCAGACCGGAGGGGATGGCGGGGTTCCGCCACGAAACTTCACTCCGGGCCGTGGGCCCTTCAAGCTGCTCCACTCGCTGTCCTTGGACGAATGCTTGGGCAGCGACCGGATCAAGGTGTCCAGTGGTTGGACTTGTTCATCATGAAGACCAGGGGGTGCACGAAGAACTGCAGGCTGCCCTCCACGAGGTGCGACAGCTCCTTTAGAACGGTCATGAGGTGCGACAGCTCCTTTAGAACGGTCAGCATGCTCATGATGTGGGCCGCTAGTTCTCGTGGTCCTCCTGCGACGTCGGTTGTTATTGGGCATCATGTTGTCAGGGTTCACGCTGGGGTCGTTGGTCACGGTCTCTGACTCCGCCTCTTCTCGCATGCTGCTCGCGCCCGAAGGTGGGCGGCCTGCAGCGAGGGGAGGCACTGCCGAAGCTGCCGAAGGGGTCCATCCTGAGCTACTGCTTGAAGGAGACCGCCGGGGCATGTAGACCCAAGAGCCATTGGCGCTCTCACGCCGAGCCGGCAGGTTGCTGTCGTAGAACTGGTCGGCATCGCAGGCCGCGCAAGTCCAGCCCGTTGCTGTCCAGACAAACCTGTCGCTATCGCAGCGGAGACAAAGCCATATGGGCTCTCCAAGGCCAGGATCGGCCTGTAGCCGCTCCGGAGGAGGATCTGCCCCGTCTCGGGGCAACTGCCGCTCCGAGAAGGTGCCGCCTCGACTCCGGGGCACACCAGGCTGCGCCATGTCGCCGAAAGGCAAGTGCTCGAAGTCCAGCAGACCGGCAAAGTCATCTGGGCCTGGGTCCTCCGGGCAGTACATGACGCGGAAGGGGTTGAGCTGCTGCTCGCTCTCGCTACCAACACAACAGAAGGCGTGCTTATGCCTTCGTGTCCAAAGCGGGCGCCGCGGATTCGCCCTTTTACACTGCCATGGCTGCGCTCACCGGCGCGAATGCAAGGTCAGCCGCAGGCTGGTTGGAAAAGAAATCAAAAGGCTCAATTGGCCGACTTGAAGCCAATGCATGCGGATGCGTGATGAAACCACGCCTGTACGCAAACTTTCACAGAAGTATCTCTTGGCAATGCCACATTCAGCATTGGCAAGTCGAAACTTGTTATTTACCACTAAAGGTCAATTTCTATGTGCTTTTTTCGAGAATACCCTTTTTTTGGTGGTATGAAAGGGACACCACAAGGAAAACCGAAGCCATTCTTGGGAGGTCCAGTACAAAAAGACACACTCTGTATGATTTACTCGCTTCCTCAGTGGCTTGGCCAAACAAGCTCTTCTTGCTTGTCACTAAAACGGCCCAAAATTCGATGCGGGTCAAGAATAGGTACCCAACATGGAAGCCTGGTAAATGGAACCAAGGACTAAAACCTGCGGTCTGGTGCTTAATTTTGACCCATACCCAAGTGACTAAAGTCCGAGTCCCGGAACTCGGGAAGATTTTAACTACCCCACATTCGGAAACCACATTTTTGGGGTGTCCAACCCAAACTAAGACGAGCCAGCCATCTGTACGTTTGACGAGGTCCTCCAGTAGAGAGGTTAGAATAAGGGTACCCTTTTTGTCTGTAGTCTATTTTAGTAGGGGAACCCTCCCAGCCAAAAACAAGTTCGGTAAAAGGGCACCCAGCTGGGGGCCCTAGTTGGCCATGGGTCAAAACCCGGTACCCCGTTGAACACCCAGAAAGCTTTCTAAAAAGACAACAGTCGAGTGGTAATCATCCCCATTTTTGGCACCTTAGATATTGACCCACAACCAGTTGAACTATAGTTGAAATACCCCACATTCGCAAACCCCTTTTTTGGGGGTCCAACGTGAAAAAAAAGAAGAAGGACGAGCCACCCATCCGTCCGTTTGAACTACCTCCATTTGCTTAAGTCCCCTGGAAAAAATGAGACCATATTTCCAGTAGTGATAGATTCGCTTTAAAACCAACAGGGGAAAAGAAAGAATTTTCTTAACCAAGACGACTACACCGAAGGATGAACGCTTCCCGCCGTGCCCGGCGCCCGGCGCGCGCCTCGGTGGTGACCTCGTGGGAGGAGGTGAAGAACCGCCGCAGGCGGCGGCTCACGCAGAAGCCCAGCACGCAGCCCACGGGGAGCAGCACCAGCAGCGCCACCAGGCGCTCGTCCAAGCCCACCTCCGGTTCCTGCGGAAACTTAACCTAAAAACCGGAACCTTCCCCCCCCCCTCCATGTGGTTGGGTAGGAGAAAAAAAACACTCCAGCAAGAGATCACCCGCCCAAAAGGAACACACCGATGCCACGAGGGGGACCCAACCAAACGAAAGAGATCCCCCCTCGGCGGCTTTCTGCTGCCCTGCATGAAGTGACTACGTAACTTTTCGTGGCTTCAATACGGAGCATTTGTTCGTTCGCAAGTTACAGTCCAGAGACATCCCTCGGCACGCCCCGAAGAAACGCGATGCCGATCGGCTCGCTCCGAGCTCCAAGGCCCAGAGCCCAGAGACCGCCGAGCTTCGGAGTTCGATCCATCGGACGACCATTTCGACCCCAAAACGACGGGCCCCCGGGGGGTCTTGGTGCTTGGGACCCCGGTCTGAAAACCTGGCTGTTCGGGAGCTTCTTTTTCGAGTGGGGCCAAAAAAACCTGGGGCTTGTTACACGGAGCCGTAAATGCATCGATTTGGAGCCTCTGGGAGGGTGGAATCATGGCAACATTGGTCATGGGAACACCAATTGGTTTGTTATCCTTGTGATTTTATCGTCGCTGGGAGCAATCGCGAAAGGAAGGCCACAAACAAGGGGAATCCGAAATCAAAAGAAGCCAGAGAAGAACATGTTAGCATGGAATGAAACCAAAAAGATACCAAATCTGGATGGAACAAACACATCGTTGCATAGGACACCTTTGTCAGGTTGCGGGGGTATGTTTGTAAACCTGCTCGGAACCTTGGGCTTCGGATGTATTTTCACGGTTCGGGGATGCTGCATGGACAAATCTGGTCCCGTACGGAGGGCTGCACATCGCTTTGCGGCCGGGGCTCCCGGGTCCAAAAGATCACCCTAGTTTCTGACTTGGTTGCCCTCCCACCCTTTTTGCATGGAGCCTGACGTTCGGGACCTGGTCCCTTTACAAGGAACATGGTCTACCACCCCCAAAACGTCAGGTTCCATGTTGCTTTGCAGGGTAACCCCAGAAGCCCAGCGGGCCATCAGATTCCAGGGCACTCTTTTTTGGGTCGTCTGCTTAGGTCCTCCAGTAGAGGGGTTAGAATAAGGGTACCTTTTTTCGGTGGTCTATTTTAGTAGGGGTACCCTCCCAAAAAAAATCGGTCCAACAAGGGCACTACTGGGGGACCTAGCTGTCTTTCACCGGAGAACCGAACGGGCGCCACCAATGGCGCCGAAAAGCCGCGGACCCCGCCTCGGAGGTCTGCGTGGTGTTCTGCGTCTCTCGGGAGATCTCGGAGACGTAGCTCAGCTGCGTGGTGGTCGTGGTGGTGGTTGTGAGGACCAGCGCCTGCGCTGGGCTCTGGGCTCCGTACCCAGAAGCTCCCGAACAGCCAGGTGTTGAGACCGGGTCCCAAACACCAATTCCCGGGGTGTCGTTTTGGGGTCGGGTCTTCCATTGAAAGCCGAAGCCGATCGGAGCCTCTGGGCAGAGCCCCCCCCCCCCACAAAAAACAAGGCTTCGGTGTTCCCTTTTGGGGTTCCTTTGAAACCACCCAAGAAGAGTTATCCTCCAAAAAGACACACCCATAGAGCCATAGTCATAGTGGCCTTGGTATTGGGCTCGCACGATCAGAACATTCCGAAGGACCCGCCTTCAAACCATCAAGCCAGGGAACATCCCTTTGGCTTGATGGTTGGCATGTGGACAATCAGCCAAAGCCATAGACAAGCCATGGGCATTGTGGCTTCCGAAACGGCACAGCGTGCGACTGTGTGACTTGAATCAGCATGGGTGATACGGGGCATATTCACAGCGTCTCTGCCCCTGATCTTGGGGTTTGCTACAAAGGGCACCACCCCAAATCATAGGTATCACAATCTGCGTGTGACATATTTTTCTCGGCGCACTCCTTGTTTTAGTTTCTTTTATCTGTGTGTGGGTTTGTTTATTTTTCTTTCCGGGACATCAGGAAAGCCGAAGCCATTTGTTGGTCCGAAAGACATCGAAAAGATCGGATCGGGCGTGTCATTCTTTCTTAGGCTACTCCTTTCTTGGGTTGGAGGGACATTAACAGGACAGCCACCTAGGGAGGCCGCTCAAAGCAGCCCCACACCCGAGGGATCAGATCCTAGGTCCTCCAGTAGCTTGAGGGTAGAATAAGGCTACTCGACTTTTTTCTTCTGTAGTCTACTTTAGAAGGGGAACCCTCCCAAACATCGGTGAGAAAGGGCACCTAGCTGGGGGACCTAGAAGTGATCCCCCCCTTTAAACCCAACCAAAGGGAGTCCCCAAAACACACCCACACACACACACCCACTCATGTCAGTGGTACTTCACCGGATTTCTGAAGGGAATGAACAAAGTTTCGGATCTAAGGAACCAAAGTTTGGGGATGTAAATATCCTATGTCTACCCCAGACACTACTGGGGGGGACCTAGGTGATCTGCCTTCCGCTTTTCGCCCCTCGGACGCCTCCGCCGCCAGCGCCGTGGCGGCGCTCCGCGGCAGCGGCGCCAAGCGCTGCGAAGTTGTCAGCCGCAGCGCGGGGCGCGGGGGCGGCAGCACTTGGAGCACCGCCGTGGCCAAAGGCAGCTGCGGCAGCGCCGCCAAGGCCTGCGTCACCAAAGCCACTTTGTGTAAATGCATGCTGTACGTTTTTTTTTTTTTTCAGGTGTGTGAATATGCTTTTATGATTTTCTTGTTTGGGGGGGGCTCTTGTTTGGGAACCGCCAAGGCATATGTTTGCTCACTCAGAACTTGGTTGACGGTGGAAGGGGAGCAAACATTCTCAAACTTTAGCAATTAAGTGGCTGGATTTCAACCCACTAAACCACAATCAGCAAAAATGTCAAATGTGTCCCAACAACAATCACGAAAATTCACCGGGCTCCGGCGAGCCAAAGTGGGCAGCTGGCAAATTTTGTGCGGGGTCTGAAAAGAACGACTTGGCGGGGGGGGGGGGGGGAGGAATTCTACTCTCGAAACCACGATTTGACCCGGATAGTTTTCAGCGTGTCACTTAGTGCAGTTTGCAGGGTTCGCTTAAAAAGAAATGGATAGGGAGGGAGGGGGTGCTTGTTTTGCAGAGTGTCGCCGGTGCCGCTGCAGGATGCTGTCGGAGGGCTCTGAAATTCTACATGTCTTGTATGTTTGCGAGCGTTCTAGCTGTGCAGCACCTGTTTGCTTGACGGCCAAACAAAATGTTGGGACTTGTTGATTCCCCCAATCAAGTGGCACTTTGAAAGGAGCCTAAGGGTTACACATCTTTTCTCACTTCCCAAGTTGACTGGCCAAAACAAGTTTGATTTGTTTTTTATTATTTACCACTAAAATGGTCTTTCCAAAAAGTTTAAAGTCCACCAACTCAGGAAGTGAGTTTTGGGTTGAAACAGCCTTTGGGCTTGTGTGCCCCCTTGCGAGTGGGCAACAGCCTTCAGGCCTGAAGCCCAATTTTCGAGCTGAGAGCATGAGGTCAAAATGGGGGCGGATGATTTCGGCCGTCTGCAGCTTTTCGGGGTTTCGGAGACTCGGTTTTGGGGCTTGGGGATAGCTTGGCTGTGAGTGCATAACTCCAAGCTAAGTTCATGGAAACATTCAAGAGGGGTCCTTTTCCAAGCACTCCAAGCTACGACATCCTGGACCAAATTCGCGGAAACACAAAAAGGATATTTCTACAGAGGATGTTCTTTTGACAGGAGGAGATTTCTCCCGACATCATGGCTTTTAGAGCTCCATAGTCATCTCAGAATTTTGGGGTGTTGCGTTCGGGCAACCAAAAGGGAAACACACATTCTGGGGCACCCCTTAATTTTGCGACACATCCATATGAGCCAAGGCCCAAACAATTACATGGTTAACAAAAAGACATGCTCGAACATTATGCACAATCTTCCATCTGAAGGGTAGAACGAGGGTCCAGGCTCTTCTCCGTGTCTTGTTTCTTGCGAAGGTGTGTTGTTTGTTTGTTGACTGTTCGGCGACATGTTCATGTTTGTTCGTTGGCTTGTTTGGCTGCCTGCCTGCCTACCGGCCTGCGCGCTCGCGCTTGCTTGCTTGCTTTTTTGCGTTGGTTGTTTTCTGTTTCTTTTATTTTACAGAAGACAAAGCTGAGCTCATTGTGTCAAGCCGTTCGCAATCTTGAGGCCAAAGGGATGGCAGATCAATCATCGCCAGGCGTTCAAATGGGATTTGCTCAAAGGCAAATTGGGATAAACGCCCTTGGGGTGTGAGACTGAAAACTACAGGTACCTAAATCACAAGTATTGAAGCAGTTCAATATCCTGTCCCAAAATACCAACGTCGACGGCGGAAAAAGGACCCCTCTGAAATCCGAGTAAAGAAGCGCGCAATAGGTTTCTTGCGGGCTTTTCGGGCACCCAATTCCGCATTCTAAGCTGCAACAGGCTGGGCACCGATCAACGCATTCTCTATAAGCCTGGGATTTGGCGAAAACTGGTTTGCCAGGGGAAGATGTCGATTTGTGAAACTCGTTATGAGCACTAGGACTCGTGAAAAAACCGTCCGGGCTGGCCGTGGACTGTTAAAACGCGTCATGCCTCACTATGCAAAAAATGCGCTTGACGTTTCTGAAGGTCAGGGTACTTGAGTCAAATCAAACATGTCCTGCAAGCCAAAACTCAGGAAGGGTAGCCTTGCAGAGCACAAAGGGGGACATGCATTAAGAGCCGCTTCATTGGGAGGTCGGGCCAACCCTGCTATGCAATGCCTTGAGGTAGGACAATTCGCAAAGAACCATGCAAGCAAAACAAACACAACTTGCAGGGGAATAGGGAAACTCAAGGAACCCCAAAGGATAAGCAAAAAAAACATGAAGGACCCCCCCCCCCGAAAAAATAAGACAGGTTACTCGAGTTGGGCAAGCGCGACACAAGACGTGGCCTCTGTGGCAGCCGCTGAGGGGATGATCATCACCTGATATTCCTGGGCGACGTGCGCCGTCCAGTAGCAACATTCACCGTGGCCATGGGTCAAACGCCCATCCCAGTGAACATCCCAATCCAACCACTAAAATAGGTTCTAAAATGGGTGGTGAATTCACCTAGCCCAAAAATGGTACCATTAGTTTTGACCCACAGCAATGTGACATGAGAACCTTCAGGCAAAACAAACACGGTTCATGCTCAAAACACATCAAAGGATTCCCTGAGAAGCAGCAAGGTTGCCAGAAGCTTTTGAAGTCACGTTGGCAATGTCTCCTACTTTGTGGCTCCTGGCAACTCCGTACTCTGATGTTAACATTGAATTAACTTCACAGACTGGGCGGTCCTCTCATATCCCCTGCTTAAAGTAAGGGGATGGCTGGGAAGCACTATGATTGAGGCCTAGGGCTTTCGGCTCCCTCCCCTCTGGCCCCATGAGATTCTGGCGCCGTTTCGGGATTGTCTTCGAGTAAAATAGCGGTTGTCCTTTTGGTTTCCCTTTAAAACCCAAGAATTCAGGTACCACCAAAAACCAAACCAAACTCCCACCTACCACCCAGATTCTTCCTCTCCGCTTCTTTATTCTAAAGCTCGCCCGCTTTCTCGCGGTTTTTCTTGGGGGTCCACCCCCACCGCGCGCGCGCGCGCCCAACACCGGCGGAAGCCGAAACCGACCCGGCGGGCGGCGCCAAAGCCGAGGCTCCAAGCGCCAGGTGGCCGGCTTCAGCTCCTGCAGCCGCCTGCCGCCGAGCTCCGCGAGGCGGCCCGTGGCCTTCACCTCCAGCGCGGCACGAGCGCGGTATGGACGGCGCCCACCGGAAATCCACCAGCGGGGCAAATTGGGGCCGAGTCAAAGGAAAACCAGGACTACGTTTCTGTTTTTGCACAGGTTCCTTTGCAAAGTAACCCGAAAAATGGTGCCACTCTTTTTGAGGGTGTCTTCCAATAAGGGTACCCCGGACGCCTATAGTCAACACGCACTTGTTTACATGTCTTCCCCAAAGAATGCTCGGAAAACTAGCCACACCCCTGTCTTGCTGGAAGACCGTTTCGTTTCAGCCCATGGTTGCATTACACTTGAGCACAAACAGGAACACACACACACACACACACACAAAGCAAATGGTCGACCAACACATCATGGCAACTCAAACCAAACACGACCATGCCAATACAAATCAAGGTGTGCAACAACAAGTCACCCAACGAACACACACACACACACACACACGCATCAAATAACACACAACCAAGGAGACACCATTAGCTCTTCACTCCTTTTTTATGGACGCAAACCCACGCCCTGAATGGGGATTGGGCTGCAACCATCCGCAATGAGCCTGCACTTTTCAAACCGACGGAACACGACAAACAAAACAAACCGAAAAAAACAACAAAACACACACACACACAAAACACACAAACACAAATAAACACGCAAGAGACACCAAGCACCTAAACAAACACACAAAGAGCAGTGAAGCGAGCGTTGCCGCTCCAGGGCGCTGTGAGGGGCAGGGTGGCGGGCACTTGTTGCGCCAGCTGGCGCTGCAGTGCCAGCTCCAGTGCATCTTCCGCAAGCACAGCCCAGTCCTGGGAAGCTTCTTGCAACTCGCTTCCGATCGAGTGGATCGGCAAAAAAAGAACCTGAGCTTTTTAATTTACCACTAAACTTGGTGGAAATTGTGCAACCCTGAGCTCTTTAATTTACCACGAAAATGGTCCAAAGCCCAAAAATTGTCTTACAGTCCGAAACGGAACTCGGGACGTGAGGCAAATGGGACACTAAGGGGCTCCAATCCCCAAGCTACAAATCCAAACCGCCAAGGGTTACAGTTGGGTGATTCTAGATGGATAAACAATCTTTATGCGGGTAACTGAAGGAACATGGGTTGGGATTGTGCCCTCTACACCCAACTGTGCCAAGGGGGAGGTGGGTGTTTCTCCAAGTGGGAATCGGTCCATTTCTTTAAAAAACAAGCGGTTCCTTCGGCTTCCCTTGTGTCACTTGAGAGAGAGCGAGAGGGAGAGCGAGACCACCATTTTAAGAAATAAGCAAATGGCTAAAGCATTACACCAGGGTGAGCTAGTAGACGGCACAACTCCGTCTATGCGTATATTTCAGATGATGAAACCAACTTGAAGGAATATTACCATCTGCTTTCACCCCTCGCACACATTCCCTTGTAATTATTACTTATCTAGTTTGGCCAGCCAAGGAAAGACCACTGTATGTCGAAGTCGCATGTCCAGGAAAGTTTCGTTTCATGTTTGCCCTTTTTACCGCATATTTTCCTGGAGCTGTTTTCTTGGCAATGGAGTTGTCTGAAACTTGTGACAAAAAGTGCCTGGACCCTGAAACTCTGCATGAAAGTTGGAAGTCCTCACATCATCCCAACGGACCCGACTTGTCTAGTCGTGTCCAAATATCTGTACCCTTATCCTCTGCTATGCTCCCTGCTCCATTATTCATGAATCATTGGGGCCTCTCTGCCGTTGCCGCCTGCTCTTTGAACTCACTTGGCATCAGGCCTGGGTTGGGAAAGGACCAGTGCCCGGGGGCGGAGGTTCTACTCCACATGGCCGCACCCTTTGGCCGGACAAGGAAACCAATATCCTCCAACCGGATTCTAAGATCATTTGGGATCACCAAGAACTCCGCACAAAGATATTTCGCATTTTGGGCTCTGTGTGACAATCAGCGGCAATGTAACCAGCCGGCCTCGCTCTGGGAATGGCCTTTATTGGTGACTTGGAGGCCTTTCAGTTCTGTGAAAGCGCATGGCACAACTCCCCACAAACAAACAACACAAACCACTCGGTTCATATCCCCCAGGAATTTTGTCATCTACTTGCACCCTGGTCTAATTTTTACAGATCTTGGATGTCTGACTTCCTGGACTGGCCAAAAGCAATCCAAGCTGTGCGTTTGCCACTCAAGTCCAAACCCACAGGTGTTTAAAGCCCAGAAACTCAGAGCCATGGTCAAAATGATTTTCTTGAGGACATGGGAAACTTAGAGTTTGTGTCCTATTCTCTTTCTCGTTGCTCGTCCGGATAGACCACTCATTTCGACCAAACCTCACTTGGGGGTTTCTTCCTATTTGGGGAAAGCCGGTCAGTTCCTTTGGCTTCTTTATTTGATTCACCCAAAAGCTGCCTATTTTTGGGTGTCTTGTTTTGAGGGCACTCCATTTAAGGGAAAGGGACACCAGGCAACCCCACAAGTTTGGGGAGGCTCCAACCTAAACAAAAAAAAAACGAGCGAGCCCATTTCGACACCCTTTTTGCGGCGTTCCCCCCCCCCCCCCCCGCCCCCCGTTTTTCGACCCGTTTTGAGACCTTTTTGTGGCGTTTTTCCACGGAACTTTCCGCTTCTTGGGAGGCTCCAACCTCAAAGGAAAAAGAAAAAAACAACGAGCCACCGGTTTTGACACCTCTTTGTGTCGCTTTCTTCTCCCCCCGGTTTTTCCGCTTCGCTCCTCGAGGGTATACGCGGTGACCTCAGTGTCCGGCTCCAGCAGGGCGCTCATGGCGATGGCCTCCACCAGGTCGCCGCCGTCGGTTTGCGGGAGGCACAGCGGCACCTCCACCTCGGCGCGGCGCAAGGCGCGGCTCGGGTGGGAGCCCGACTCGCGGTGGGAGAGAGGGGGAGGTCCTCCAGTGGCTTTAGAGGTTAGAAGAAGTTGGTACTCGATGTTTTTCGGTAGGTCTATTTTAGTAGGGGAACCCTCCCAACCAAAAAGATTCGGTAAGAGGGGACCTAGCTGGGGGAACTAGGAGACTCCTTGCGGTCGCACGGGGGCGTTTTCTTTTTCTTTGTCATTTGCATTTGGTTCGGTTTTTTTTGGGGGGGATTTCTACTATCAACACCACCATGTGACTCGGGATAAACTTGAGCATGTCAACTCAATAAAACCAGTTTGGAGGCAATCTTTATTTTTGGATGTGAAGGGAGGGTGTGTGTGTGTTTTGCGGAGAGTTGCTGATGCCGTTGCAGGATACTGCTTGAGGTCTCTCTGAAAAGCATTTCTATATGTCTTGCATGTGCTGTTCACAGTGGTGAAGCACCTGTTTGCATGACAGCCAAACAAAATGATTGCTGTAGGTTGGGACTTGTTGAGCCTGAAATGGCTTGCCAAAAAGGGTTACACATCTTTCGGGTTAAAATAGCTCAACCTTGCTTCCCCCCCCCCCAACTTTGCCAAAGTAAGGCCCCAATAGTACGGCCTTACGCCCAATTTTGGTGAAAATTGGAGCACGGGGGGTCCAACCGAGGGCTGCTTTGTGTTTCCCCAACAGCTGAAGGCGAGCTCAGATCAGCTCTGGGGTGGGTTCCGGAGATTCGGTTTCCCAGGGGGTTCCTTTTGGGCTCTTGGGATACCACCTGGACTTATTTGGCTGGAACCCTCTTGTGCTTTTAAATGAAAACCAAACGGAAACCAACCATTTTTGAGGGGCTTGCTAAGAGACACACCCAAGTTCAAGATCGGCCCCACCCCGAATTGGTCAACCCCCGAATTGGCTTGTGCGTTGGGGGGGGGGGGCTTATTGACTGCTCCCCTTGCGTTCCATGTTTATCCGCTCAGAGGAAAACCATTTGCTGGGGGGTCCAAATATGGCCTGGATCCAACTGTGGACAAAATCCTGCACCATTTTGAAACCACTGTTGGTAATTCTCGGGGAATCTCAGAAACCAGGGATTCTGAACTGCCATTTGGTTGAGACCCCTGGAAAAAAAACACATATTTCTAGTAGTGATAGATTCCCTTTAAAACCAACAGGGAAATAAACAACAATTCTTCTTAAGCAAATGGAACAACAAGTCGTAGGGTGATATGTGGCAGTCCTTTTTTTGTGGGGGGGGGGGGAAGGGGAACCTCCTTGTGGTTGGAGTTTCAAAGAGAAACCCAAAGGACATACCACCATTCTTTCCTGAGCAGGGTTGTGGAAAATGCCCACTTCTGTGATACAAGAAAAAGGTCCCCCAAAGACTACCCCGCCATGTAAAGAGGGGATTCCCGCTCGTATCACAGAAGTGGTTGGATAAACCCCTTGTGATCCCACAACCTTCCTCAGATCCGCGGATTTCGCCACCTCTCGCTTCGCTTCGACCGCCGAGACGCCCAGCGCATCGATTCGCAGCGAAAGACTCCCCAGGGCACCCAGGGCGCAACACAGGCGCCAGCACAGGTCTGGCCCGAGGGCAGGTTGCGGCAGGCCTACCGTGCGAAGTGAGCCGCCGACACAAAAACGGGCCTTCCAAATATGTGTGTATATATAATATACACATAGATAGATAGGTAAAATAGCCTTGGGCAGTTTCTAGGGCAGAATGACAAGAATGTGTTCACGCCGGGGAATTGCTCACAGGTACTGGTGGTTTGAATCAACCAAGAGGGGGAGGCTCAGCTTGCGTACTTGGCTTCGCGCTGTCCCACCCAGCACAAGGGAACAAGACAAGAGGCCGACCACTTTTTCAAATGCTGCTCATATGGGTGTGGCTCAAAATTTAAACAGGAGGGGCAAACCGCAGGTTTTGGTACCCATGTTTCACTTACCAGGGTAACCCATTTTGGGTTTACCCGGTTTTTTGAGCCACGGCCATATTTATTCACGACGTAAGTCGTTGACGTTGACGTCCGGTCCAATTTCTTGGACCCGGCAACTTAAGGGAAAGCCTTGGACATCCCGACATCAACCTGGTGCTAGCATGTTTACGTATTCCCAATGAGGCCCCAAAAGTATACGCTCCCAGGATTAGCTCCTATTTCTGGTTTCTGGTCAAAACCAGCACACCTTCTTTTGAGGGCACCATTTGGGTAGCTTGAATTGCAACTCAAAAGAAAGCCGAAGCCTTGTTTATAATTTGTTGGGGGCGGGGGGAGGGGTTTCTTCACTCAGAGACACAACCATAGGTATGTACATATATCCATCACAGTCGCACCAATTATAGTCACCACTAGGCCGCCAAGTGGAGGTCCACAAACTTTCATTTTCTAGTAAGGAAACTGGAGGGCATAAACAACCAAATGTTGGCCCCGGATGAAACCCTTCCCCTCCCAATGTTTCCCACGTTTAGGGACACCCGAGGGATCAGCCACGGATGATGCCCGGGGCTTCGCCTCAGGCTCCAGGGCGTTCATGAGGCTCGGCACTCCGCGGCAGGCGCCTGACTCGAAGAATTGGCTTGGCGCGTCTCGGGCTCGCCGGCGAAAAACACGGATTGCATGCATGACTAGATAGATAAACGAACAAATAAGTAAAAACATGAGCAAATATGCAAACAAGTCAAGACACATACATGCATCCACAAATACACAAGTAGCTTGGCTCACAGGATTGCATTTCTTGCTTCGAGTCGTCCAGTCACTTTCAACAGCAACACAACCGAGAAGGTGGGCCGCCTTTTGGTTTGCCACGAAGCGAAGTAGACAACAAATAGAGTCAAAGAAAACTGGAAGCGAAGTAAACCTTCTTTCTCAAAGGAAGCGAAAGTAGCTTTCTTAACGAATAGACCTTCTTTGGAAGCGAAGTAGACCCAAAGAAAACCTTAACAGTCAATTCCCTTTGAGTGCCTATTGCCTTTAGGGCTGCCTCGAACACCTCCCTCCAGTTTCCCAAGTTTAGGTTTGCCTCCTTCTGCCGGAAAAGGAAAGGTGAACGTTTGAATGTCACTGCCCCCCATTTCAAAAGGAGGCTCCCACGCACATGACGTCTCAATCTCCGTTTCACTGCAGCTCCTTGAAACCAAACATGTAACATGCAATATTTTGAGCTTTGACTCGGTTGTATTAGATTCAATCTGTATACCGAGAATCGCATGCATGACAATGCCGCCCACTGCATGACGCTTTGCCGGCTGCTGAATGTCAAAACCGGGTGGTCCAAGAAAAAGAAGGGGCAAAGCAGGAAGATGCCACTCAAAACCAACAACAGGTCTAAACTCGCCCGTCGCCATGTTGGCTTCCCTTTGGTTGGCCCGGGCCCCCGGATCTTCCGGCCCCGCAGCCATGGCCTGGGGTGCATTCCACCGGCTCCGCCAGGGGCTGCCAGGTGCCGCCCACGCAGCGGAAGCCAGCACCTGCCGTTGGGGCTCAAAGAACTGGGAGGTTGAAGCCATCGGTTCCGAAAATATGTCCCAGATTCTGTAAGACAGCAGGTGGGTATTTCAGTACGTGAAGGATCCCCCCAGTTCAGTTGCAGGCCGGCCACCATTAAAACCGCGGTGGGGTTCATACAACCACCATGATTTGTACCGTGCTAAGGATTTCTTCTCCTCCAAAATCTCCGTCCCAAGGCCAAACCGTTTCGATGGGGAATCGGTGGAACCCCAGGGTCCACAATTGGAACTGGACGTTTCGGAGTCCAGGACTCTGCTCCTAAAGATTCAGAAGAGTTCTCCTTACATGAAGTTCCATGTCGCAAGAATAAAAGTTTGGGACCTTTCGGACCATTTCTGGTGGGTTGCAGGTTGGACAGATTTAGTTTTGCGACTGTTCCAAGGAAAATCAACATCCATTTGGGTGTCGTTGCTTTGAGGGTAATCCTTTTCGGGTCAGGTCAAGGGGAAAGCAAAGGGAAACACTTACTATGAGATCCCCCGAAGACCCCTTCCCCCCAACCCCAAAAACAAGAAGGTACTCATAAATCAGTTTGCCTCATGATCATAGGTCATAGGACAACAATGTTTATAATCATTCAGCCCCTTGCATTCCACTGTCCCAGATTGGGCAAGCCCGAACTGGCTGTTTACCACTAAACTTATATCCCCAAAAATGCGCACGTTCGAAACAGAACTCAGGGAGTAAGGGAAAAACCCGTTTCGCGATGGTACGAGCTAAACATCTCTTGGTATGGGCTTGCAAAAACCTGTCTTTTTTTGCAGACCCCTGCTAAACATGGAACACATAACGCTGAAGATCTAAAACTCGCTAACAACAGTGAAGGAAGAGAAACCCAATTTGGCTGTGGCTCAAAAAGATGTTCCAAAAAGGCATTTTTGGTCAATGGAACCGAGGACTAAAACCTGCGTAAGCCTAGCTGTTTCTGGGCTGTCCTCAGATCCCCCGCTAAAAGTTTAACCTTTAGTGGGTCAAATGGAAAGCCCCACTCAACGCTGAAAGGTAAAAAAAGCTAAGGAACCGGATGGCTGTGTGCCACCAAGGACAGCCGAGCCACACACATTTGAGCAATCTCGCCAAGCCGCTGCTGTACCCGGGTGGGCAGCTCAAAGGACACGTGGCGCCCAGCGCCCGGTCTCCGCACACGGTGCCTAGGCCGGTCAAGAACAAAACGCGCTCTGCGCTTTTGTTTGATCTCCCCAGTGCACTAGGCCTTTTTGGCGCAAAACGCTTAGCTGACAAATTTCGTCCGGAAATTACTCTAAAACAAATTGAGATTGGGAACCCCAAACAGGGCCTCTCCGAAGTAGCCTAGGCCCAAGTTCCTGCTTCATCTCACAACAGCCCCAAACACATACACGAAGACACGAAGACACGTGCGCTCCCCTGAAACATCGCCGCAAAGAGAAACTGTTGAAAGGCCAGGAGGAGAACGAGACCACCTTGCAAACCAAAAAGCCATGGTGTATCTACGGAAGAATGAACGGGTGAGGTGGAGCTGATGATATTTGGCGCTCATTTTCCTAAAGGTTGAAAGGTTTTTGTGTTCTGGTCCAGAAGGTAGGATTTGAATGGATTTGAAGCCGTAATCGGTGCATCTGGGTGGCTTTCCCCTTCAAAGTATCCAAGATACACATCTGCGAATTTTGATAGGGCATTAAGGTCATTGAGGTGGGGATGGATGTCCACCTGGGCGGTGGATTGAAACCCTACCGCTCAAAGCGCCAAGGACTCCGTCGGCCCGGCCCGTCCAGCGCTCAGGTCTCCCGGAACAAGGGGGCGCTCGGGCCCCCGTGTTTTCGGGCCGGTCCATGGGAACTTGGAACAGTCCAACCGGACGCTTTTTTTTCGGGGTGCTTGGCGTATGATCATCTGCAGCTTGAACCCAAACCAAAATCAAGGAAACATGTCGAAACATTGCCAAGAGTACCATGCAAGAATAAGATGGCCCGGAACCCCCAGGGCGGCTTGGATGCGGAAAAGCAAGACATGGACTTCCCACGAAAGAAGCGATACGGTTCCCGTATAGCGATTCGAATCGCTGCTTGGGCTCCAGCAACATCCCGAACATTCTAGTGGACACTGAGGTTTTATCACGCCCTTGCTGGCAAAAGAGCCCCTGCGAAGCCTGAACGAGGACTTCGTGAGGCAGGTGGGCTGTACAGGGCGCGCCGTGCCATGGTTTCATGAAGCAAAACGTGAATCAAAATCCAAACCCGAACACAAAAGACACAGAGCAAATACACCCGCCCAAAGTCACAATACAGAAACAAATCCATCCCTCAAACCCAAACCCATCCCTCAAATGAAGCCCACAGTCACAACACATAAACATGGTGATGTCTCAGTGCGCGGCTCAAGGGCGACAGAGCAGGGCATTGCTGCTCTACGCACCGGACATCGCCCACCGCCTGTGTCCCAGGAGAGTCTTCGGACACCCTGTCAGCTTCCAATCATGGAAAGAGGCTACCCCCCGACTACCGTGGAAGTGCACAGACCCCTGCAGAAAGACTACTTTCCTCTTGGAAAGCGGTTTGTGCACTTCCGTGCTAGTTGGTAAGAGGGTAAACATAAAGGTCCATGTTCAAGAGCAGCCATTGGCCATTGCGCCTTTTCAACATGGAACCCCCAAGCCTCACTTCTTGAGTAATATCCTTTTGGTATCTGATCCATTTTCCAGGGTGCCGTGTTCATTTGCAGGGCAGCATTTGGCATTAATGAGTTGCCAACGCAGGCATGCGGCATGAAGGGTCAGGGGAGCTTGCCTTTTGGTCAGTTGCTTGTCAATTCATCACTGGTCCTTCCCGAACACAACCCCATATTATGAACCTGATGGGAACATTGGTGAGACAATTTGTTTTTGGTGAGACAGTTTGTTTTTGGTGGGACATTTGAAGGGATACCTCAGTGGGGTTTTTTCCTTGAGCAAAACATCAAACCTAGAGGGGGACTCCCTGTATGATGGTTCTCCCAAAAGAGGGGGGGGGGAACAATGGGCTTTCCTGAATTAGGATAAGCGGATAAGTCAAGGATACTTGTGCCACCAAAGCCTTTTTGAGGCGTTACTAGGTAGCCTTCCTCAGTAGCTCTTAGCGGTGCATGACATAGGTCCCATTGCCCTTCCGACAAAAAACACCTCCAACCAGCGAGGAAGTTCCCCAACTATTGCTCGCTTCCAAAGTGGCAAGTTCCAATGGCTGAAAAATGAACATGGGTGTCTTTTTTTAGGGGGACCCCCACCAAATGGGTGGTCTCCCTTTGGGCTGTCCTCAGATCCCCTGCTAAAGGTGAATAACTTTTAGAGGCTTAAAAAGAAATCCCCACCAAACACTAAAAAGCCCAAAAGCTAAGAAACCGGATGACTGGGAGTCGCCAAGTTTAGGTGTCCCTTTAAAACGGGCTACCCCCTGAACAAAAACCCGACCAATCGGAAAAAGGACGCGCGTCGAACAACAAACCAACCGCCAACGGGTCCTCCCAGAGTCCGAGGGCACCGCATTGGAAGTGGCCCGACAAGACGCTGCCTGACGGCCGGCCGGCTCGTCTGGAGCTGGTAATTACCACCGCCATTTTTTCGTGGGCTGTTCCACTCACTCCCTGGTCTGTTTGTGGCTTTTTAAAATCTTCCTGAGCGGTTGGAAAGAAGGACAACGGGGAGTCCAGGAACTCAGGAAGCGAGAGTAAAGGGAAGCCTTGGTCGGCATCTTTACGTCATTCACTCCCTTGGACTTTGCCCAACGCTGCGAATCTCCAAGATGTGCCCATGGGTCCTTCAGTCCCAATTATGGACCCCCCCCGCCCCCCCGCGCACGCATGCGACCCTGGGAATACATCCACTGATTGACCCCATTGAGGCACATTTCCGGATAAAACCGTGTTCTTTTGAACCATTCTGGGTCCCCTTCCCCTGAACAGTGGAACCAGTCGGCGGGACTCTCTTTAGTGACATCCTGGAAGTCCGGAGGGGCAGTACTTCCATTAGTATTCAATAAAACCGTGTTCTTTTGAACCATTCTGGGACAATTCCCGGTGTACTCCAATTCCCGGTGTAATCCCAGGGTGTAATACGAAAACCCCTCCGCATCCGCCGCGCCTGGGGGGCAGGTCACGTCGCTGCAGTTGGCGCCCACCGCCTGGCCGCAGCCGTGGCTTCCGTCGGACTCGTCGGCGCCCGGCACGGCCGGCAGCGGCCCGGCGCAGCGCACTTGGAGGCATCGGGGCAGCGTAGAGGCGTTGGCCTTGGGGGGTTCGGTGGGGTGAGCCGGGCAGGCAGGTGGGTAGAGAGTAGGTAGGTGGGTAGGTGGGTGTTTTTCGTTTTTAGGTTGATAGGTTGGATAACTTGCATTTGCGCTCATCTGCTTGCGGCTATTCCCAAATTGTGTGTAACACTAAGGGTGTTCTCACGGTAAGAGTTCAGATTGAGGGTTTGCGAGCGAATAAAATGGTGGCAGCTGTCGCAAAAAAGTTAGACGGATTGCGACTGTCTCAGACGAAACGGGCGAGGTTGCAGCCATGACTTTTGAGGAATCGCAGCAAAATGCCGTTGTCGAACAAGTTTGTGCTGAATGCGACAACGTCTCGCACGCAAGGGAGCTTCTTCAAAACTGCGCTCTCGCAGTGGTGCCTTGCGAGTTGCGGACTTGTGTGTTGATGGCTTGATATCAAAGCCTGCACTGCCAGCTCAGCGTTCGGTGCGATTGGCGTGCAGTTTCCGTTACGGATGCAGCATGTTCTATGCTAATACTATAGATCTCATGGCAGGAGCAACCTTTGGAGAATCAGGTGCTGTGCATTTCGTGGCACGTGCAGCACTTCATGAATTTGCATCACAAACGGAAACCCTCTGCGGACTTGGGTCGGTGGAATCGGTGTGGCGGTTGCACGGTGCAAGTTTTGCAAAGCGAAAGCGTCCACTCTGCGGACTTTGGGCTGTCGGAATCGCTCTGTCGTTCCAAATCACCCTCGCTGCAAGCTTTAGCTGCACAACGCAAAGTGAACTTTGGGTCCCTTGCCGGGATAGTCTGTTCTAACTGTGCTCCAATGTTCAACTTTTGGCGAGGCCAAACTGTGCTTGGTGGTTCATGAGGCAAAAGATTGGCATATTCTGAGAAGAACAACGCGAGCAGCGGTCCTGGGCATCTGACAAATTCCGACTCACCCCACATTCGTGCTGTGTGGTCGGAAACCGAATAAAATTGTTTCGAAGAAAAGGGAGAGCAATGCAATATATGGGTCTGTCTCAATTTAGGGGACTGTTTTTGGATGGGTTGAAAAGGTAAACAAAAGGAACCAACCACTGCCAACCACGTCCCTAATTTGAGGAACATCCACATTGGACCGACGTAGAGGTTCTTTTTAACACTAAACAACGTAAGGGTTCCCCTCCGATTCCCTGCTAAAAGTCTTGAGTGGGTTCAATGGAACCCCCCACTAACCCCCACAAAGACCAAACAATCCCAAAAAGGAACCGGATGGTGGGGCAAACCACCCAGTAGAGACCTTTTCACAGGAAACCCCCTACACTAAAGTAGAAACCCAACAAAACCAAAAAAGAACCGGATGGTCCCCCTCTACACTCGACGTCAGGCTTCCCGCCCCCTCCCCCGTTCCCCCCGTTCCCCCGCCCCCCACCCGGTTCCAAGCGAGGGGCGATGTCCTGCCAGCCCTGGGCACCGCAGTAGAGGTCCGCAGTGGCGAAGAACCCCGCGAGGCAAAGCAAGGGGCAGACCTCAGCACCAGACAGACCGCTGATAAAACGTCCGCCCGTCCGCTCGGGCAATGAGGCAAAGAAATCGAGTATTCCAGTCTAAAGGATAAGTGAGGGGCCCTGCTTTCAGGACTCTTCCTGCCAACTTCTGCTTGCGGGGCGCCAAAACGAGGCCCAAAAATGCGCCCCGGAAGTGGACCTGGACTTGCGAGGGGTGTAATTGTAAGCAATGAATGGTCAGAACAATGGAGGCAATTGTTTCAATCTAAAGAATATGAGGGGTATGTAACTCAAAGGAGAGGGAAACACAGTTTTGTCAACAACGGGGGAACCCGGGACCTTAAAAGGAACGAACCCCTCCGTGACTGCGACCTCTCCCTTAACCTTGGGGTTAGCGCGAGCAACGCGCTGTTTTCAGCACTTGAGCCAAAGCAGTGATTGGATCATGCTCTGGCATTGACTTGAATGTACAACATGCAACTGACTACATGAGAACCTACCTCATGTACCTCTGGGCCATAAATGTCATCGTGATAATTGACTCCCCCCTCATTGACGGCACTGAGGGAGTGTCTTGGGCGCATTACCACGCCAACTTGAAGTCAAGTTTACATCACAACGACTGACGCAAGTTATTCAAGCATCGCCCAGGCACTTTGCACACTTTTGGAAATTTTGCGGACATGCTGCAGCGCACTAGGCAGCTGCTTTAGCGGCTCTACTTTCACGAACGTCTTCAAGCTTCTCTGGAAGGTCAACACGAATGCCGAGCAACCGGATGGCATGGTCCCACTTGTTGGGTGGAAGTGCTTTCGTGAAGATGTCTGCTGACTGCATGTCGGTTTGGACGTATTCTATCGAGATGTGTTCGCTTTCAAGCTGCTCTGCGATGCACGCGAGGTTCACCTTGTGCGTTCGCTGGACACAGCGTAGCTTGGATGAGAAACCTTTTCTCGCTACGAGGATAGTCGCCTGATTGTCCTCGTGGATCTTGAGATGGAATGGTCGGTCCAAGATCAGCTCCCACAAGCTGAGCGCAGGAAGCGCCTCCTGGTAAAGGGAGTATGCGAGAGAACGATCTCCGCCTCGGTTGTCGATCGGGAGACCGAGGTCTGCCTTTTGGACACCCACGCAAGTGGAAAATGCGTGTGCGGACCACTCAAAATCAAGAATCCTCCGGACGTGGATTTTGCGTCTCGTTCTCCAGCGAAATCGGCGTCCACATAGAGAGACAGATGCAAATCCTCAGTCGAATCTTGAACTGTGCCTACTAGCGTGCTGTTGACCGTGCTGTTTATGTAGCATACAAGCCTATGTAGCTGCTCATCGCAGTTTCTAGACCATTTCTGAACAAATGAGGCAAGGTCGCCAATGGGCTTGACCAGGTCTGGGCGTGCCAAACGGCCGAGCCATAAGGCTTTCATCAACACGCGGCAAGCGGCGAAGCCGAGCTCACCCTCCAAGGCGTCATCTGCAGGATCAAGGGATCCAGCGGGACAGAATGGAGTGGTGGCATCACGCAACTTTTCACTTTTTAGCTGTGCAACCTCAAGATATAATGCCACCGTTTGACGGGCATAATCCCGCATGTCGAACGCCATGCCCCCTTTCAATCTGCCCATTGCGGCATTAAGATCGGGTTCAGTTGGGTCCTTTGGAGCATCTATCAAAAGGTGATTCCTGCCTAGCACCCGATATATGTCTTCTGGGGGTTCTATATCAACCAGTCTTGTTAACTTTTCCCAGAAGTCTTTATGAAGGTGGCTGGGGCCGGCCAACGTCAAGTCGTCGACGTATGTCGAGAGAAGTAACCCGGACTCCTTGAACCAGAAGTTTCCAGGAAACTCTGCGACCTCACGCCCTCCAAGTTCACTAATGAAACCTTTGAGGTGTGCCTCCCAGAGTCCGCCAGCGTCAGGATGCCCATAAAGAGCTTTAACGAGCAAAACCACAGGTTTCACGAAACGCTCGCGCCACCACCTTGGCCGGAGCTCAGGCGGGAGTGTGATCCAAGTTTGGTACTTGGATTTCAGCAGTGCTTGCACATAAGCCTTTATAGCGTCCGCTGTTGTGGTGGAATTCCCTGGCAGGGATCCATAAGCGAGACAGTTATTAAGACCTTGTACGCTCGTGGGATTTGCTCCCAACTCTTGGTAGACAGCTGCTGCGCCATGTTCGTCTTTCGCACAGTCTCCGCGATACACAATCCTACCTTTCATCTTCTGAAGGTGTTTCGCGAGTTCGGCGAACTTGACGGATGCTAGCGACATCAACTGCCCGAAATGAACTTTTATACTGGATCGTCGCGCCTCAGCGGCGACTTGATCATATTCTCGGACTGAATTTAGATCCCAAGCACCGGCTTTCTCCAGGCCTGTGGCTTCAAGTCGAACGGCTTCAAGGGCTTCCGGGGAAGCCAACATTTCGGCACGTGACAAGAGTCTGGTCACCATTGCGGTGATCTCAGGATCCTTCTTCTCCTTGACTTGTCCTAGGGAATGTGCGATGAGATTTTCAACATCAAGAACTTGTTCAAGGATGTCGTGACACTTTTCATCGGACTCAACAGCGAGACCTATATCTTCCAAACCAGAGAGAGGGGATATGTGTTTCAACTGTTGCTCACGTTCCCGGTGATCGAGAGGCAATGGCACTTGGACAGGCATTGCAGGCACAACGGGTTGAACTGTCGGATACAGCGCGCGGGCAACTGTGAGACACATGCCTTCGGGGTAGAAAGCGGTCTTTGCGGTCTTGTTACCTGCTGCAAGCGAATGTTTATACCCTTTTTCGTGCGGACACTTGAATGCACTTAGTGCGGATGCGAGTGTGCTATTGCTGGTCATGACTTTCCATGGCTTCTTGATGGGATAGCCATTGCTGTCCTTCAGACCTAGGGCGCAACCATGGAAGGTCGCTGGGGTGAAGACGTGTGCGTATTCCCTAAAGAATGCAGAAACATCATCCCTAGCCCAGCTGTCGCAATCCCTTGGCCATTCAAACGAAACACTACCCCCCTGATGGAGGACAGTCTCAGCGTGACGTCTGAATCTGGAGAACAACTCTCTCGACTCTTTAACCTTTTGCTTCAGTTTCTTTTTGAACTGGCTTCCTAACTTGGCCTTATTAAGGCGTTGCCATGCTGAACCTGATGTACAGGGAATTGCGGCCCAGAGATTGGGTTTATCACAACCTTCAATCTGCGACTGCAACTGGATTTCTCCTTCATCTGTGCTGAGGTCGATAAACTCTTTAGCCAGCCTAACATGAGGTATGCCAAGACCTTCAAACACGCGACCCATATTGGACTCTGGTGAACATGCGTATTCGAACATCACAGGCAACTTGTCAAGACGTGCCTGTCTCTTGCGGGCACGATGATTTCCTACCTCAAACTGCTTGCGCTGTGGAGCTTCAACCTCTGCGCTGCACGGCATGCCAAAAATTGGCAATGTGTTCGGACGACCGTTCTTTGATGCATCGGTGAGAGGTGTCGGCGGTACGGAGTCTAACATCACGGCTGCACCTGTGGTGACACAATCGGACTGAATGGGTTTTAACTTAAACACTGTGAACCCGGTCCATGCATCTCCAAGTGAGCGATTAGGTCGGCTACCAAACCAACCATCGTGGATGTTGTCTGCTTTGCCCCCCTGAAACACGGCACGAGTGGTGCGAGCTGCAGTAAATCTTTCTGGGGAAACGGGGCAATCCTCGACCTCTTTTGGGGTAAAAAGATTCTGCCTTGGCATGATATGGTATCGGACCAAACAGTTGGCATTTTCTTTGAACACCCAAAAATCTTCACCTTGCGATGTTGCGGCTGTCGCTGGCGCGGTATCGAAAAATGAGCCACCGGGTCTTGAGGGAGCGGGCTCCCCAGCTTCGGCTGCATCAAATTCATGCGCAACATCTTCTGCACTAACTGCGGTCTTAGGATCTTCTTCATGCTCGGATGCGTGGATTGCTCTGGCTAGCTCCTCATCCCCTTCAGTGTGAACAATGGGAATGGGTTCCTTAGATTCAGTTTTGGCAGCGCTTTTTGCAGCTGCTTCAGCTCGATCTGCAGAAACAAGTTCGGAGAACCTCTTCTTGCATTCGGCACTGTGAATCTTGGAATGACCGGTGCATGCACGGCAACCTGGCGTTTCCTTGAACTTGATGATCCTCTCAACAGTTATGTACACGGATTTTGACTTGACAGCGGATGGAGTCGGTGGGGCACCAAAGGGCGCCTCTCGCAGGGGCAAAGGTGGGGGATCAGACCCTTCTGTCTTGCCACCATGCAATGCTCTATCTGCTGCTGCTGCAATCGGAAAGCTTGGGGGTCCGTCTTCAACGAACAATTCCGGTTCAGGAACATCGTGAACGGAAATGGAACCATCTTTGCGGAAGGCTTCATAGTCCATGACTTTGACCACGTTACGGTACCGCAACCCCGGATCGATCCTCCAACCCAAAAAGAGCGCTGGCGCCATGTTCGGATCGAGAGTGCGCTTGCCAGGAGTCTTGGTTCTGTACCAAACCAGTTGCCCGAAACAGCATCTCTTACCTTGGAACTTTTCCTTGGTGAGGGCTTCCCATTGGGTTTTCCCTGGGCTGAATGGAGCAGGCCTGTCGAACGACATGGAGAGACATGCAAATGGGTAACTAAACGTATGCAACGAATAGGGCAACCCTGATTGCAAGTGGATGCTGCGGCAGCATTCCTTCTCTTCGCGAATGTCGCGCTCCAGAACGGTGTTGTGTGGCCACCTGTTCGGTAAGCTTGTCTCGGGGACGAGACCGACTTCGTGGGCCGCTCCTTCGAGCTCTCCTGCTGCATCCATTTTTACTAGACATGTTGGCGGCGAATCAGTGGCCCGAAGGCCCATGAACTGACGGAAGTTTTTGACATGCGCTTGCGTGTCCCGCCTACTCACAGGGTAGGCAAGGCGAACGCCTGAGAAAACATCACGTACTACATGGTGAGATTTGATTCCACCGAAACCTACTCCGAGATGTTCATCGCCCATGGCAAG